ATCCCACACGGAAGAAAACCCTCTTAGCAGCCAGGCAAATGCCTCCTTTCAAATAAGAAACAGAAAAATCAAAATCAAAATCAAAGTAATTATAATGGCTATCATGAAGAAGAATTGCAAGTAAGAAGCGACTATTTAGTCTAGGATTCAAAAAAGGGCTCAGACACGGAAAAAAGGGATTTGCACACGTAAAAGAAGGGAATCCATGATGATGGTCATGATGAGCCATGATGCATATACCCACCAAAAATCAAAGAGCTTCTCTTCCCTAGACAGTTGAAATGATTACCCACCGCATCCCATCCTCTTGGTTTTGACGAAACCTAATCATTATAAAACATAACCTTCCCTTATTACCTTAGCTTTAGCTCCTCTATGTTTCATCATTACTTTCTCTTTTACCCTTTTATCCTTCTAATCACACACTGTACCATTCTTCTCTTTCTATTTTATTTTTCGAGATAATTAAAATCATGGGAATAATCCTTTCTCGTCCTTAATTTTCTTTTGGATCTTAAACTTCAAAAACGATGTTAAAGTTCATATATTATAATTTTACTTTTCAGACCACTGGTTTGGCAACTATTTACGAACGAACCATCTAACTATACTATTTATCCTCACTTTTCTTTTGGATGATAAATGTTTAGAGAAAAGTTAGAAGTCCCATGGCTGCAAAAATGCAGTATTTGATCATTGTGACAAGTGATTTATCAACCGACAGGTCTAACAATTTATTTATTTCAACGGCAACTGGACCAATTTTTACAAAATCCATAAACTTGTCCTGACACATTACGAAATTCCTTTTTCGTAAAATTAATAAAAGTTGGAGTCTGTTGTATTAATAATTTTGAATATTTGTCATGGTAATGACAAACTTACATCGAGAGCATTTTCATGCGGTTGCGTTTGCATCAAAACAAGACTTCACATTAATGTTTCAAACTCATTTATGAATCCTTAAATCGGTAAAGGTACTCTATACTCACACCAAGATTTTCTCCACGTTGCGATAACTTGAAGGATCAATGTGATTTTTTTTTTTTTGATAAAAAAACAAACTAACAGATCGAGACGGGACAATTTATGTCTTCAAATTCCTATAAATTTCCTTGCGTGTTACTGGACTTTCAATTCATAATCATGAGAGAAAAATTAGAGATAAAGAGATAAACCTAACAACAGAAAAGGAAAACAACGTTGGAGTAGCATACGTTGAAGTAACAATAATGTATATCTCTAAGCTGTGACGACATGTTAGGTTGTTGATGCATCGTTTGCCACATATATACATGACTTCGAAGTTGAGATTTGATCTTAAGAGCTCTGGTGCTTGTGACATTTTACCTACAAACTTATTAATATTAGGTAACAGAAAATGCTAGAACTTGGAAGTTCTCACTGACTCGACTCACAATTCATTTATGAACAGAACAGGATTTGAAATAACTGATACTCCATGGATAATCAAGGAATAATTAAAAGTTCTTTTAAATTATATGTTACTCACTAATCATGACTCATCACTCATGAATTGCACTGAGGCATTACCCCACACGGTTGTCTGGATGAATGATGATTATTGTTTTGTACACGTACCTAGGCCAACTCAGAGGAGTTATGTCTTGGTCTTTTGCATTCTAAAAAATAAAATAAGGGGTTTGTACATGATCGTATAGGTATAGGCCAGCGTCTGTTTCTACTCAATTTGATTCTTGGTGGCTTTATCCCCGTCTTTTGCTTTTGTGTACTTTTAAGCAAATCTTACTCAAAACGGAAATGTAAAACGCATTCATAGACATGTAGTTATAAATCATAGATGGAAATTTGTTGTTGAATAAGTATTGATTTATAGATTAAGTTTAGAGTTTTGATTTTTATAATTAATCTTTTTTAAAAATTATTTTTAAAATATTTAAAATCGTATATTGTAAAATAACTTCTAACTATATCTATAAAAAAATTAATTTTTAAAATGAGTGAAAGGTGGTTCGAAAATAATATAATTGTTAAATAAAAAAAACATACGGTTAAGAGAAGAAATATTAATAATGGTTAATATGTAGAATACCTTATTCTTTTTTATTTTTAATGTAATTTTGTTGTGTTTATGCTGAATAAACTTTTAAACTTAAAAAATATCTTTGTATAACTACCAATTTGTTTATATGACTCATTTTAGCGGATGTTGTACCAAACTGTAGGTATAAGGTACTCTAAAAAATTATGAGCATTATTTTGGATTATGATTGAAAATACATAATTTATTACTGTTAATCATACGAAAGACATGTACTGATGACCAAAATTAAAATATCGTAAGAAATTTATTGAAATTTAAATACCATGCATCTGAAAAACATGAATTGATTAAACTTAAATAAAAATGCTTTATTAGTACTGGAGTTGTTTAAAAGAAATATGTATTTTTATATATAATGGTAAAAATCATGAACGAGAAAATGGTTCGTTTGGATAAAAAGAAGAGAGAGAGAGAAAATGGTGGGTGGAGTCGTGGAGAAAGGAAAGAGTGATGATAATTACTCAATGGCATTTAACAAAAATAAAAATAGAGGGACATCAAGTAGGTACTTCCGTAATTCTAACAAAATCATCATAAAATGGGAAAAAAGTGGTGGGACAATCATGCCGTGTGCGTGGAACGAAGAAAGGAAATTAAAGAAAGAGCCTGGAGGAGATGTGTGACCTCAGCCATTGATTTTCTTTTTGCCTGCAAGGAAAAAAGCTTTGGTTCGAAAAGGTTTTCGGTTTTGGTCTTCTTGACCAGTGACCATGATAAGCCCTGTGTTCACACTTGACGCACGTGGAAGACTGGCCCAAGCAAACATTATACTTTGGATGAAAACATGCACTCGAATTATGATGATTTATCTTTTTATTGTAAAGCCATTGACTGCTTCACGAGGAAATTCGTAAACTTAAAAGAGTCCATTCGGTATATTCACGTTTTTAGTTGTGCCTTTTTGGCGTGATTCGAGGCTGCTAAATGTGGTTATTGATATAAAAAATAAAAGTATTAAGTGACATGCGATGCTATAATAAATAAGACTGGAAAATCTTAAAACTTTCTTCTTATTATTTCTTGCTTTGAATCTCTAAATAAATTTCAGAACCATTTTAGAAATTCATTCGGATATATTCTCCATTTATTTATATAAAAAAAAAAGGGAAAGAACTCTTAGGAAAAAGCCATGTTACCCAAAACAATTTCTAACCAATCTATCCGACCATTCTCAATTATATCTTCAGATTAATTTTTTTCCCTTGATGTGCTTCCTACTGTATTAAGCATTCTGTCAAAACTCGTCATAAAGTTTATGCACAAAAGTTCAAACTCTCTTCAAAAAAGAGTCATTTTGATGCATAAAAGATGTACTTTTGACTAAAAATATCATCAACGACGAAAAACAGTACACTCTGTTTTTATATAATAAAATAAAACTTTGATTTATCTTTTATAATTTATTTTTATATTTTTAATTGATCTAACTTTATTTTTATAAAATAATCAAAATTTTAATCTATTATTCTATTAATTTTTTTCGTTCAGAATGATTAAAAAAATCATAACTTATCATACGAGACTAGACCTTTCTCTTTCTCTGAAACCTCTCTCTTCCAGTGACTCATCTCCTCTTCCATCGAGATTTTATTTTTTGTACAGTACTAAATCACGTGCATAGCTATTTATGTTAATTTAAATAGAAAAAATTAACAAAATAATGGGTTGGAAATCAGTTATTTAATAATAATAAAATTATATTAATTAAAAATATAAAAACAAATTTGAAACTTATTTTTATTACAGTAAATATAAATTAAGTTATTTCTCCTTAAATAATTATGGAAACGATGGCTGAAATTGACAAAACGAAAAAATGTCAACATTAATGGGTAGAATGTTTTGCCATTTTAACTTTTTGGAACAGTAGGCTTCTGATTTCGAGGAATAGTAACTGGTGCTCAAAGTAATCAACAATTCTAAGTGGAAAATCTATAGTTGTTCATAAAATTACAAAAAAAAGGCACATTAAATTATAAGAAAACGTTAATCTTTTCGTTTAGTACCAAAAAATTGGTTACATCCATTCCTAACAAAATTTACAGTTTGTTGTATTTTGTATGCTTCGAGATATAACGTTATGATATACTTATTAATTATAATATCAAGGCGGGGTATTTAGTATGAAATTTATTGTTAGAAAATGTGGGGGATTTGACCTAATGGCAGAGAATATATGTTTTATTTCTCACCCGTGTCAGGTCGTGTCAAATAATTTTTTTAAAGCTAAGAGTTTTGTTTGACCACATATACAGCATGGAAGGGAAGAGAAATTTTTTTCTTTTGGATAGTATAATAGCATTTTAGAGTAGATTATAAATTAATTAATATTTTTATTTAAAAATAATTAATTAATCTTTTTATTTTACAAATTAATTATTTAATTTTTTTATCACTATTAATTATGTTTAATTTAATATTATTTTATTTTTTAAAAATATTTTTTTCTCATCAATCTTTTTTATAATTTTTCCTTATTTTTTATTTTTATTTATTAAAATAAAATATTAATATAAATTGGAAAAGAAAAAAATATTAAATCACAAAAAAATATAAAAATATAAAAACTAAATAAGTAGTTTTTTAAACAAAAAAAAAAAAAGACCAATCAATTCTTTTCGCACAACTAAAGGGACTGATTTCTAATTTACTATAGCATTTCACGAGGACAAAGTTCCGTGCGGGTTAGGAATAATCATACTAGTACCTTCAAAAAAAAAACAAATCAATTATAAATGCGCCAGTTCAGTTTCTGACGTGTAAAAAGCCCACTGGCTAACCCATAGGAAGGAAAGAGCATAAACGCTGTAGGGAGCAAGAGAGAGAGAGAGACAAAGGGTGTGCGTGCGTGTTGGTATTGGTGTAGGTAGGGGTGGTGGTGTTAACCGTCGTGAGTGGCGGAATCCGCCGTGGCATGGAAGAAGAGCTGGCCATGCTTAGGCAATTCATCGGTCAGCTTCAAGACCTTTTCAATCTTTACGGCTCTCCTCTTCCTCCTTTTGATTCTCTTCAACTCCTCCACTTTCATAACCAGCAACAAAACCATAACAACAACGACAACGACAACAACAACAACGACGACGACAACAACAACAGGTCTCTCTTTAGATCTCTTCCATTCCTTCTTTTCCATCTGCTCTGTTTCCACTGTGACCTAACATTTCTTACTTATTTTTAAATTTCACTTCATTTGCTACTTAGGTTTTCTGCTCTTTTCTTTTCTTGGTTTCAAGGTTACTTTATTGATAACAATAATCATTATCAGGTTGTTTTTATCTAATTTTATGTGTTGCGAGTTTGGTAAGTTAAAGTGACTTTTTTTCTGCTCTTTTTGCCGTGTTTTCCTACGCAATGTGAATTTTTTTCTCCCTGGAAATTTTACTCTTAACATTGTTTTGTTTTGGTTTTTAAAATTCTTACTATGTTTTCGTTAATTAAGCTTTATTTTTTAAAAGAAAACAAATATCTTCTCTTGGTCTGTCCGCTTTAGTTTTGGTACAGGCAGTTCCAAGCTCTTGGCAGTTAGTTTTCTTTTGTGGTTTATATTTTGGTTCATTTTTTTAGCTATTACTGTTTTTTCTCCCTGTTTTAGGAAAGTTTTGTAAATCTGATGTTTGAGAAAACAGAAACGATCCTTCTTTATGTTATGTGATATTTATAGTATTCATTGAGCTGTGGTAGATTACATACATAGGGTCTCTGGTATTGAACCTTTCACTGGATTCTTAATGGGTCTGGAAATCAATTCATAAATTGTGTATTTTTTGGCATCAGCTTAATAATTTAGCTTAATCAGCTCTCATGTTCATATTTAGTTTAATACTAATGCTTTTTTGTCACTCTATTGCACCTTAAGATTTGCACAGAACATGCACATGTAGGTTACATGTAAGTGATTCTTGGGAGTTGAGATTCATTGCCTTGATGAGCTCTATTATTATTTATATTTTGGGATTGGGGTTAGCAACATCCCTGGTGCTATGGTAACTGTGTTGGACTTGCAACCACCGAGGGGACTTAGAGTCTAACGAGCAGCCAGTTCATGCTCAATTTCTGATATAGGTGATTGTCTCTATTCTAGAGTTAGGAACATAGCTGAGAGGCTGCCTTTTTCTTTCCAGCCTGCTGTGGATGGCATTGAGTTTCAAGACAGTAATGCCTTCCCAAAGGAATTACTGATTAATTTGCATTCTTTTGTGCAACAAACTAACAATATTGCTTTATGCTATCATGTTAATAAATGTTAGCCACTCTCAATATTCTGACTTCCTGGGTTGGTAGTGTTATCGACAAGGGAAGCCTCAATGACGTTGTTTAGATTCTGGCTGTTATATGCCACTGCCATAGTTGAAGGCCAGTAGAGGAGTTGGATGTAAAATGGGGCTGAAAGTAGGGAAATTGAGTTGAGATAAGCTGAGGATCTTGCAGATGATAGCTGGCTGAGATTATCAGTTTAAATCCATTATAAGCTTCATTTTACACCTCTGGTTTAGAACTTTTGGGATGTTAGCATAGGTACTAATGAAATTTTTAAAGCGGCTGTTTAGAAGATTTATTTTCTAATTTATAGCACAATCTTGATTAGTTGTTTTTTTTTTTTGGAACATGTTGCCGAGTTGGTAACAATAACAACACATGATCCATGTAGATGTGTGTGATTTTTTCTTTTCTTTTCTTTTTTTGGTAATTTTGTTGGATCACTTACATTTTTGTTGTTTCTTTAGCCAGTCAAGAATTGATCCAATGAGTTCACATTGGGATCTTCCTTGTAATAATCATCGGATATGCTAGATTTTCATGCAAGAAGCTCTTCTTCTATTGGTTTTGCTAGTTGATCCTCATACCATCTTCATGATATTTCTTGTCTTGTGTTGCCAGTCCTCATCATTTTTAGTTAATGCTTCGCTCAAATTTCCTTTTCTTGTGTTCTCTTCTGTGTATATTTCCTGCATAACTTTCCATTTGATTTGTCTACTGCTCCTAAGAATCCTTCCTCATAAATAGCAGTGGCATGAATGTCCCTGCCTTGCACTGTCACGTGGAATCGACTTCCTTTCTCTCACAATAGCTTCCTTCTGTATATTTTTGTTAACGTCTGATGTTTTCATACAATGATGTCACCACCCACTAATGCTTATACTCTTGAATGTTGCTATCTTATGCTGCTTGTGGATATGCATTTAACCAGAGAAATATCTACATGCATTACTCTGGTTAGGTTGTATATATGCATGCCTTGCCACCTCTTCCTGTCTAAAATGAAAAAGTAAGAATGCAAAAAAGTTTCTAAAAAATTGAAAATGTAGAAATATATATTCTTTGATTTCTGTTTTACCTGTTAATGAGATCCGTATGCTGGTGTTGATTGGGCTGATACTTTTCAAGTACACTCCTTTGCTTTAACATATGTGGTTAACATGGATATCAGAAAGTGAAGAAATCTTTCGTGGTAAAACGATAAAATAATGCGCTTGATGTTTATTCTAGAACTTCTTGAGTTAGAGGGATCAGGATCTCGATGCTGTATTATGTCTACATCTTTTACCTCTATTATCTATTTGGTTTCCAAACGTAAAACTCTGCATCTTTCAGTTGAACTAGACTCATAGGCTTTAGTTTGAACATGATCATCTTTGTAGGTTATTGGAAATTTGCTTGACTGGATGTCCTGGCTTGCATGTTTAAGCCCAATTTGTGATTTTCAGCCTCTCTATGCTTATATTTTTTTCGGACCTGATATCTACTTATATTTTGGTAATGATTTTTAAGCTGAATTATTTTGGGCATGTGCATTAGTACCACCAGGTATTCTGTTCACTGAATATGTATTTCTTAGCTCTTTTACAGATGGTGCGTCCTCAATCTTGATGATGATTCTGCAGATGATTACTGTAGTCTTGTGATGGCGGCTGGAAAATCTGGAAGTTTCAAGATGTTGGAACCTTGCAAGCCTCCACCCTCCAAGAAACCTCGAAAGGAGCGGAATCGAGGAAAATCAATTGGAACTACCAGTTCGACTGAGGTTATGCAACAAGAAATTTGGAAAGAATTCCCAGAAGACCTGTTTGAAGCTGTTATTGCTAGACTTCCGATTGCTACATTTTTCCGCTTCCGCTCAGTTTGTCAAAGATGGAACTCCTTGCTTGACTCTCAAAGTTTCTCTCAGCATTGTGCCCAAGTTCCACAAGCCAACCCCTGGTTTTACACCATCACTCATGAAAATGTGAATTCTGGAGCCATGTATGACCCTTCGATGAAGAAATGGCATCACCCAACTATATCTTATCTGCCCACAAAGATGATCGTCTTGCCAGTTGCTTCAGCAGGGGGTCTTGTGTGCTTTCTTGATATTGGTCACAGGAACTTCTATGTCTGCAACCCTCTGACTCAATCTTTTAAAGAGCTGCCACCCAGGTCAGTGAAGGTCTGGTCTCGTGTTGCTGTGGGGATGACTTTGAATGGCAATGCAGCCAGTGGGGGCTACAAGATCTTATGGGTGTGCTGTGATGGAGAGTATGAAGTTTATGACTCACTGAAGAATTCTTGGACCCGACCAGGAAGCATGCCCTCTTATATAAAGCTACCCCTATCCTTGAACTTCCGTTCACAAGCAGTTTCCCTTGGAGGTACGCTTTATTTCATGCGTTCAGATCCTGAAGGGATTGTGTCCTACAATATGGTTACTGGGGTTTGGAAGCAATTTATTATACCAGCCCCGCTCCATCTGAGTGACCACACACTTGCAGAGTGTGGGGGGCGGATCATGCTTGTGGGCTTGCTAACAAAGAATGCAGCCACTTGCGTGTGCATATGGGAGCTGCAGAAGATGACACTCTTGTGGAAGGAGGTTGACAGAATGCCAAACATATGGTGCTTAGATTTCTACGGAAAGCACGTTAGGATGACATGCTTGGGCAACACAGGTTTGCTCATGCTGTCATTAAGATCAAGACAGATGAACCGACTAGTTAGTTACAATGTGGTGAGCAGGGAATGGCTCAAGGTTCCTGGTTGTTTGGTGCCACGTGGGAGGAAGCGTCAATGGATTGCGTGTGGCACTGCCTTCATCCCATGCTTGACTGCTTCAGCTTAGCCTCTTTGCTTGCTGTGGCAGCATTTGCATGTTGGTGAAGGGGATTTTACATTTGATGTTGGATTTTATGGTTGGTCATTTGGCTGCAAACTTTTGCAGCTAATTTGTCACGATACCAGCTTCCTTAGTTGTTTTAATGAAGCACATGATACCTGAGGTTTAATGAATGACATCTTTTCATGTACAAACATGTTGACAAATAACTTTGTATTGAAAAGACTACGTTTGAAATGGAATTCTGCTGGTTTAGAAGCTAATAAATTTTCCCCAACCCCAAGCCAATGATAGTTTCTGCTGAGAATTGCTATCTGATAAATTTCTATGGAGTAACATTTTCTAGAGCTAAATTTTGTCTGCTATATGCAGATAGAGTTAAGACAATGAATTGAAGCTGCGCTGCAAGAAAAGCTACTGAAATCCAGTTTTAGCGTGCATGATAAGAGCTTAAATTCCTGCAGTTGGCATGCCATGTGCCTAGTGGATTATTTTAGAGTCAGTATAAGCATGGTTAATTTACATGACATCCCCCGTATTATAAGTTTTCACTTCAAGAACTACACATCAAATATAACATAACAATTTTGAGGATCACAGAGGGGCAAAAGAAAAGCTCACAGCACAAAGCAATTGCCGTAGGAACTGGGTTTCAAAGCCAGCCTAGTAAAAAGCAACAATCCTAAGCATAGTATTAAATAACTCCCATTACATTATAAAATGGTTTCATAACAGTTTTAGAACATCTTGTTATCGTGATTTTAATATTATAATAAACTATGATCTGTGATGATGATCGTAATCATTTTTTCATCCATCCGTTATTTAAAACTATCATCCGTTATTTAAAACTATAACCCTAAGGTTTACCTTGGCAGTTAATTGAGTGCGAACGAAAGATTCACATTCCACGGATCAAAACCTTTAGGTCTTCATAAGATTCCTAGTTCGAGCCTCACTAAGCAAACTGCAGATGGCATCACTAACCTTCATTGGCACAAGTGAATAACGGATATTCAGTCACACTAGACTCTGAATATTGGGCATCCACGGCCAACTTTTGGACATTCTGTCATCCATATTCCGACTTTGATGACCGTCGTAACAACAGTACTGGAGAGTTGTCCAAAATGAAATTGCTGAACGCTGACATAATAGTATCATCAGTAATATCATTTCTAGTAAATTTAGGGTTGATCCCTCTGACGAAGTCCACTCCAGCCTGATTGTAGTGGCTAGAGTGACCCCAAGCCTACGAGATGTCAAACCAAAGCCAGTTCTCTAAAGCAGCTTCGATTGAAATACAGAAACATGCAAAACTATAATGGAAAATTGAATAACCAGTCATTGTTAAATGCAGTTTTTTTTGGTCAAACATTGTAGTTCTTCAATACAAGGATAAACATTGATCTGAGTAAATGTATTCTTCATCTCTCCTACATGCTACTAGGGAAAGGAACCGAAACAACCAACCATCCGCTGCGGCCATCTCCCAAATTCAGTGACAGTTCATGCCACACATTCGCTTGTGGCCGTCCTGATTATCTGGAATAGAGCTGTTACAAACAACAAAGAACCTGATCAGTGACTAGGAAAAAGATTTTGGTTCCTCACAACAGAAACATGCAAGCATAAAATAACCAATTTATATCACTCTACTTATTTTTAGAAGTCACAAAATCCTGATATGTTTGACAACTACATTTATATAATACAAAACAAATATGGAATTGACATCCAATTCATCATAGCAAACTCCAACAAATTATAAAATGAGCAAGTTTAATTAGATTAATTCAAAATTAATTCATCACAAATTAAAATTTCAGAACACCAAGATTTGTTGAGAGAAATTCATAAGCAAGCCGGAAAAATATAAATGAAAACTTAGAGGCAAGATTAAAGGGGGTTAAAGGAAATGAGGCTTACATGATCCAATGACAAAAAAGATGAAGAATCCATGGAGAACAGGATCAAAAATATAGTCCTTTCCCTTTTTCATGGTTGTTTCAGGCACGGCTCCTCTCTTCGTAATGTTCTTCTCAAATCTATCGACTTTCCTAGGAGCAAGACAACTTGATGTAGTCTGGATGAATGATAATCACAAGAACAAAAAATCAATCCTCGACATTTGTCATAATCTCACCAGCCTAAAAATGTAATAAGCATAAATTATTAGTATTGTATGGAAAAAATGATCAAATTTGAATTTGGAAGGGAACTATTTGCCACAAAAAATTTTAGTTAATGATGTAAGACAAAAACTATCAAATTCAAACCTTATTAAAAAAAAAAAAGGAATTATTCAGCTATCATTAATTCAAATATTATTAATAGTAAAAAATTGACCAACTGGAATTATATCATATGCATATCATAAAAAAATAAAAAAATAAAAAATGAATCATCGCATAAACAATAAATTTTGCAGATAAGATCAGTTCGATCATCCACCAATTTCCTGTTCTAAATCCAATCAAATAAGATAATCAAACAAAATACAGAAAGACAAAAAACCCAGACTTCTCAAAGTATAAATTAATTATAAAAAACAAATTACCATGATTACAACAGTAAGGGACAACCGGTTGCCAGAAACAGTCATGAAGTTATAGGTGATTGGCTCTTTCCCTCTCCTATGAGATTTTTTCCTTGGCTCTCCCTTTGATTTCCCCCATTATCCACAATCTCTTCTTCCTTAACATCTACCACAACCTGAAGAAGTTCTGAAGGAGTAGCCGCTGGGTCCAGCTCCCGGCAACCTTTTGGAGCATTTGGACCTTCTTGACCCATAAGCAAGTATGAGGGAACATGGTGGGAAAATCGAAACATCTCTTCCCTTGGGATCCTCCTGACTTCCTTTGGGTCCAAATGCTGGTGAAACACGGTCTTGAAACCAGCAACTTTTACCAAGGGAGTAACTGTTACACCTAGTTCTTCACTATAGTCTTCAAGTATTTCTACCATGTCATACTTGTGTATCACATCATCTGCTGTCAGCTCATTCCACTCAGAGGACCAATTCCGGTAGAGAGCCCAAACATCCCCTTTCCTGGGATATATATGAATTACCCCACGTGTTCCTTTTGTCCACCTAACCTTGTGTGAAAAGGAATTGAGTGATTTATAAATCTCATATCTGCCCACTCTGAAGTCACCACAAGTTTTTGAGAAGCCAGAACCAACCCAATTTAGTGGACCCAGCTCACTATTAGTTTTTGAATTAAGCCAACTGATCCGCATTTTGAATGGATTCAAAGAAATTACGTTGTGTATCATAGCATAATATCGCGGCATCCCATCATCAGCATCATAAGCAGCCCATACCTGGTTTTCCCCAAAACATCTTTCAGTTCTATCTTTGTCAAAATCGTGAAAATCAGGATCTGGGACATTTATTGACAATGTCTCCAAAGTTTCAGCATCTGTCTTCCCACCAGAAGCAATGGAAGAGTTTTTGATGCGATTGACTCCATTTTCCATATTGACTGACTCACCAGACTTGTTTCTGTCAGGTATGTCAGAGTTTGACAAAGAATTTTTCCCCTGATCAATTCCCTTCTCATTACCCTCCCCATCTTTCGCTGCAGATTTAAATACTGTAGCTGACTTCCATTCATTTATTTGCTTTTGAATCTCTGTCTTGGCCTTCTCGATTAGTAAGGTTTGAATTTCAGACTGAGAAACATCCCTCGTGCCATAAGGCTTAGTGATTCCATTCACCCTGCTGTCAGAACTTCCCTGCCTAAACCCAGATATATTAGTGGTGCCAGCTCCTCCAAATCCTACACCCATCTGGTTTGTAAGCAGACTTCCATTTTTGACATGGCCAACATCTTCCATGCCTTTTCTTCTCTTTGCAGAACTAGAATATACAATAGAAGATGAACTAGACATCTTCTTTGAGGCATGATTCTTTCGCTTCAGGGCCTCCTCTCTTTTTGTAGCTGCCTGTGCTTCCTCGCGCTCTCTCTTCACCTTTTCATATGCCTGCTGGACCACACTAGCAGCTTGAGCAGCAGTTGAAGCACCACCAGCTCTAGAGAAAGGGCCCCACTGAAAGTTGGCCTGATTATATGAATCATTACCACTGGACCCCCCGCTCCCACATTTGGAGAGGCAACATTACTCCTTCCAGAATTCGATGTGTTTCTGCTAGTAGCGGCATGATGGTTTGAGTTCTGTTTCTGCTGAAAAGAACTCCACGGGGCGGCTGACCTAGAAGCATGTGAAAGTGGGGGTGGCATTTCAATGGCTAAAAATGGCTCGTGGCAATTAGGACATAGAAGCTTATGATTGAGATAGACTCTGAGATACTCGTATTGCATCTTGCATCCATGACAGACAGTCCAAAAGGTATTGGGTTTTGTCTTATAAGATGAAGCAGGAGTTGAAGAATGGCCAGTTCGAGGAGTACTTTTGTGCGTCTTCACACTCGATTTAGTGAAATTGTAAAAGCCATTGGACCCTGGTTTTGCTGATGAACTACCAGCAGCAGTTGTACCCTTTTGAAATACTTTGCCATTTCTTCTCTGGTTGTATGCCATCCTCTTGGTTTTATCAGACAATAAACTCCATGCCTCGGAAATACACTTAAATGCACCATCTGCTCCGACAGACTTGTTTTTATCAGGGTGAAGCATAAGAGCCAGTTTCCTATAATGTTTCCGCACCGCCTCATCATCTGCTTGTGGATCTGCACCAAGTATCCCATACCAATCTGCTTCCCCATTTATTTTGTTCTCAGCAGCAACATACACATCAAGTGTAGCTATCATCTGAGGAATGCCTTCAAGTCCAGGATACAAGTTCTGGGCCTTCAAAGCAAATTTCTTTGCCCCCGCAAGGTCCTTCCCCAAGAACTTCTTCTCAGCAATCTCTTTGGCCCTAGTGGCCTCATCTTTGTTGCATTCCATTTATGCTCTCTCTCCTTTCTTTCTTTCTTTTTTTAACAAAATAGTAACACCAAGGCTGATTTCAGATTCAACAAACTTCAGCTATCCCCTACTCCTTTATACAAATTCTGAATACATGAATTATTATTATTCAGCAATCATTAATTAATTCAAATAGCAAAATAATCGACCAGTTAGTCCATCATAAAAAAATGACAGCAGGAATTATAACAGACGAAAGAAATTTTGCAGCTTAGATCAGTTCAATTATCTATTATGTTTCTGGTTCTAAATCCAATCGCATAAGAAATTTAAACAGACTAAGGACTCACAACTCTAAAGAATATAAAAATTACTAATTACCATGATTACAACAGCGAAGGAGATGCGGTGGCCGGAAACAGTCACGAAGTTACGGCGACTCCTACACTTTCCTTCTCCGGCTAGATAGTTTCTGGGTCCGCTTTTATTTTTCTCCTCCTCCCTCGATTGTTTGATTATTATTAATTTTTTTTTCCGGTTATAAGAAAAGATTAGATGAGAACATGGTGTGACATACGAAGTGTTGTCTTTTGACGGGGGCATCGCCATGACCATTCAAATGAAATCTAACGGTTCATAATTGATGTAACCATCTAGTTACCATGGAAAACATTAACACAAATCTTATGTATGATAACATCTTATCCATTGAAAAATATATCGAAATTTGATCTCAGCTGTCCACTTAACAATTTTATATTTTTTAAGTGATAAAAATATTTAAAGAATAGAAAAAAGCTTTGCATGAAATAAAGGCATCGTCTATTGTTAGTTGAAAGTATTACGATTACTGTGCTTAATTTCTTCAAGTTACAAATTATTAAATATATTTAATTATTATATTTTAAGAAATTTCATCAATCTATAATTAAAAAAATTAGTTCTTTTACATATGTCTGGCACGTGTATTGTTCAATTAATTTATAATATTTTTCTACTTTATAACAAATTGGTTATAATTATTTATAAATTAATAAATTTGAAATTTTATTAAGTCAACGTTTTTGTTTTGATCATAATAATTAAATTATTTATAAAAAATTGCCATATAAAATAATTTTAAACGGACTTAAGTAAAAATGAGCGACGTAAAATAAATTATCTTTCAAATTTTAATAATTAGTAATTAGGATAAATACATATAACTTTAAAAAGAAGCGTTAAAAAGTTTTCACCATGCATTATATTATTGTGAACCTTTTCTGTTTTAAATACTTATTTTCAATTAATGTGATGTGAATAGAAATTAACAATACAAACATAAATAAACATTTACAAATTTTTTATTTAATAAATCTTGCCTTTTTCTAATATTATTAATGTTTGGTCAAATGTGTAAAGATAATATAGGACAATAAAAAAAATAACTGACAAAAAATTAGTAAATGATTAAATTTAATAACTTTGTGAATTTTTATGCAATTTAATTATTTTTGAACTTTAATATCTTATGTTTTTTGGTTGGTTTATTATACCAAAAAATCATAAATTTTGTAATTTTTAATTATTTTAGCACGTTCTTTTAATATTAGACTAAAAAGATATGAACTAAAATTTTGCCAACCATTTTAACATGCGAGAATTATTTCGTACAAAATTCCGTTTTCATCCGACGTGATGGGACAAATAGGATGACAACAAGGAACAAAAGCCACTTAGCAATATTCCATATGGCTTAGCATGCGACATATTTCACAATCTCAATTGAATTGAAATCTTCATTTCTCGTTCATTTTCAATTCTCTTTTCAATTGAATTGAAATTCACATCCCCCAATTACCCTATTTCATTCCCAATATTATCTATCCAATACTTCTTTTGAATTTGGCATTCTTCCTCGACCAAACTAAAAAAAAAAAAAACAATATAAATCTAATATCACGTATTATACTCATATGTATGATGGATTGGTTGGCATGGCTAGAATGGTTGTTGGCTATGCTAGAGATCGACAATGGTGGATTGGCTAGCGGCGTGAGCTTAACAATGGGATTTGATCGGGTTTGAGAGGAGTGATGTTAAAGGGCGGAGAAGATGGCCGGAGTGGGGTGATCTATGGTGGTCGAGGTTTTTGAAGGACGAGAATGAATGGAATTCGACCGGGTTTGTGGGGTGGGCAACAACTAGAGATCAAGTTTTAACTAGGCTTCGGTAAAGAGATCAATGACTAGAGCGATTAGCAATGTAGACAACTCCTAACACTTGGATGTCTCCCTCACTTTAAAATTCTAGAGACAAGCATTATGAATAGCATAAAATGTATAAGCAATGAGTTTTATAGTAGTAATAGCAGATGCAACAATACTTTTTCAGCATTAAAAGAATTCATTCTTAAGTGTATGGATGGTCTAGAAGAATGGATGATACCATGAGGAGAAGATGATCAAGTATTTTCTTGTTTTTAAAAGTTAGATATCGGTTGGTGTGTTAAGTTGAAAAGCATTTTGATAATGCATCTTTCATCTCTAATAGAGTTTTATATCTCTAATTTTTATGAAATGTGTTATTTATATGTAGAATTTCATGGCTTCAAATCTCTTAAATATGTGAGAATATTTTGTTGTTTAAAGTCGGCATCCATTTCAAACATACAACACTACACAACTCTAGTGGAATTGAATATTAGTGACCGTCCAAAGTTGATCTCAATTCCATGTGATTTTCAAGAATTACAATTTTCTTTAAAGAAATTGATAATTTATGATTGTGAGTTAACAATTCTTTCAAGTTGGGTACAATCCTACACATCGCTTGTTGAATTAGAAATCTCTCACGATCATAGTTTGACTTATTTTCTAGAGGATCGATGGTTTGGTGGTCGACAATGGTGGTCGACTAGAATTTTTAAGAGAGAAGAGGTGAAGGATCATGTATTCTATGGAGGTGAGATAATAAATAAAAAAATTATTCACCTCCATCTAAAGTCTCAAGATCAGTCATTGAATTAACTAATTATATTAACAAAGATAGATTAGATGTTACCTCTTGAAGCACAATATCAAGTTAATGGATAGAACCATCCAAACGTTTGGTCTTTAGTGATAATTCATGCAGCGTAGACGCTAACATAAGAAGCGATAAAAAATCAAGACTACTAGTTCTAATTCTTTCTGCTATGTTGTTTTTCTCACAAGAAATCTTTCTACAAGAAGATGACGTAATTCTTTATGTAAGAAGTTGGCATAATTTCTTTTTGTAAAGAAGTTACGCCTCTCTCTCTTTATGGAAACTTCAACCACAATCTTGCCTTTTAGGAGTTATATCCTTTGATGCATCTTTTTATCTTTATAAACCCCGAATTAAGTTTAATGAATTTTTTTCTAAGGTTCTAAAAAATGTACATCCATTTAAAATACCCTTGCAGGCTTTCACTTAAGCATGTTGGCCCAATGACTCAATAATTAATTGGACCATTTAAAATAAGTTGGGTTAGGTATTTTAGGAAGGCTCATATTAGAAAACTATCTCCTAAGTTACCCTTATAGTTTATGAAACCTAATTCGGGAAATTGATTTCCATTTTAGAAAAATTATTTCTATTTTAGGAAATTAATTTCTAAATTAGAAACCTAATTTTCAAATTAGGATATATTTTTTTAAATTCTTCGCTTCTTTTTATCTATGTCAATGTTAAGCTTATGCGTATGTTGAAATACACTTTTAGATATGTTGGTAATGTATCGAGAAGTAAAAGATACTTCTTTTATCTCTCGATACATAAATCAAGATTAGCAACTAGCAAGGTATAATAACTCGCTTAATTATTTAAAAGAATTACTTAATTTGCAATAACCTTTCACGAGTAGGATCGCCATACAATTTAGTCCTCATGTCAATTTATCACGAGTGTGATCTCAAACTTGATTTGATTTCGTTTGAATATGATCACATAAGTTTTTTTCAATCTCTAAGTGTCTTAGCTCTCAAATAAACCAATTATGCTCTATTGGTATACTTCCACCGTGGCCATAGATTTTTTAGTAGACATTCATCGAAGTGTAATCCGATAACTCCTTTAACATATAAAGAATGATATGTCCTATCTTATTTATCCATCTATCTCCATCGATTCTTGATGTACCTAACGAATCACCTATGTGTAGCTCTTTATTAAGTCCATCGAAATAAATGTCAAAGTACATCAATTCTCTAATGAGAAAATTATGATAACTTCAAGTCAAATGACTATTTGTACCCATCTCATAGTGAGTCACATCCAATTATATGTTCTCTAACTTTATTCACTCATATGGTTGCTTTGGCATCATCATATTAGTAGGTGTGAGATCTCCTACTACTATCTTATAGCATGAGCATAACATACACAAGTCTTACCACATATTATCATTGTTTGATCTTGATAATCTTATGACTTGGAATATTTAATGATACCATTTATATGCACCGATATTTGTCTCACATCTATTGATCAATCATCAAGACAATGAATATCATATGGACTTTTATCTTCCGTCAAGTTATAAGTGACATGAATTAATAGAAAGACTTATTTATTAATACAAAAATACAATAATATAATATTTCAAACCATCGAAACAAGTTAAATTTTGAGCACCTACACTAACAAGAGGGTGATATTGGTCGGCGATATTGCATGGATAATTTTGTGAATGAATTGAAGGAATTGAGGAAATGAGGATTTCAATTCGGTTGGAAAGAGAATTAGGAACGAATTAGGGGGATTGGGATTTCAATTCAATTGGGATTGTGAAATATACCACGTGTTAAGCCAAGTGGAATGCTAGGTGGCTTTTACTCCTTGTTGTCATTCCATTTGCCTTGCCACATCGACTAAAATGGAATTTTGTTTGAAATAATTCTAGCGTGCTAAAATAACTACCGAACTTTAGTTCAAGGTTTTTTTACATTTAACACTAAAAGAGCATGTTAAAATGGTTAAAAAAAATATAAAGTTTATGATTTTTTGGTATAATAAGCCTTTTTGGTTTATGTTAAGTCTTTTTAAGTTTTGATAGTCAAAATAAAGCACTAATATATATACATGTGTGTGTGCGTGCGTGTGTTTGCTATAAATAAAATCCTATAGCTCACAATTAATGGTTAGGTAGTAAGAAGATTAGCTTTAGTAGTTAGCGGAATTGGATAAGAGAGTCGTATTATCATGATGAAATGAATTGACCATCATTACAAAAATAAGAGACTACTCGATTTTCTCTTGTAGTAGGACTTTGTTAAGTTAAAATACTTTTAAAAAAATTAAACCCATAATCTCTTGCAAGTGCAAAAATTTCACTATCAATAAATTAAAAGTCCATTGACAAATAAAGTATCAATATAGTATTATATATTGTATTGATGGTATAATAGCCAATCCAAAGCTTTTTAAGAAGTTTGTATTTTTATATATAGTTATAGATACTTTGTAGTTTTGCTAACTATGAATTAACATTTTCTACGGTGACATTACATCATATCACCTTTAAATATAATTAATAAATATTTTGTACTTATTCAATTGTGATAAATATCCATTTAACATTTAATTTGAAATTTGTGTTAGATCATAAAAATTCTATATATCTTAAAATGATGTCTTTTATATCAAAGTTTTCAATTATGGAAAGATCGAATTGATAAATTTCTTTTGTTTGAAAACCTAGTTGAAAATCACTTAATAGTTAGAAGACAAATACATCATTTTTTTTAATAATGTGTGTATGTGTGTGTGTGTGTGTGTGAGAGAGAGAGAGAGAGAGAGATTACATTTTAAGTTACTAGAAGTAGAAGATGAACTAGTAGCAGGTTATCAAACCGAATATTAGAGCATCAAATTTGGTTTATTTTATATTTCTTCCTATCTAAACTTATTAGTCTCTTCATTATTTGTAACAATTCTTTACTTGGGTGGTTGGAATATCTCTATTCCGTACATATCTATTTTGGATTTTTTTTATTTTAAAATAAATAAAGTAGGTAGAGTCTTTGAAACAATAATAGGTACCACTTGTTACATTAGTTAAAAACTTATTTGTTCTTGTTCACTCCCAACAAATGGGTAGGTCAAAAAAAAAATTGGATTCGGAAAGTCTAGTTAAGGATAAAGGTAGAACGAGATGGTTCAATAGTTAATTAGATAAAAGGTTTTGCTACTTCCCACAATGAGAGGAAACTTAAATAGCATAGATAAGGAAGTGATTGTTCTTTTTCACGACTTTCGTCGCTCTCAAATAAGCTCTTGCCATAGTAGAAGTCATCACTTCAAGCTCGATTATCCCTAAACTCAAAGTGGGTTTTTTCTATTTTGACTTGCTATCTCTTGTCATAATCGAATGAGGATGGATAAGAGGCTCATGGAATTGACGTGAGGGGATAGGGATAACTATATTTCTTAGAGCGAACTCTAAGTGAATATGAAACAAATGGATACAAGTTTTAAAATGAAAGACAATTTCGAATCATCTTTATTTATGAACTAGGAAGTTGTTAAGAAGGGTTAAAATGCCCTTGTGGTTATTGATGCCGAGTGTAGAATTATGAGGAGTTTTATAGAATTTCTATATTTGGAAAGAACAAGTGAACATCAATAGTTAGAATTAGTGGAAGACTAACCGACAATTAGTGTGTCTCGGGTTTGTTTTCTTTCGTCAATCCATATATTAGTGAGCAATCTAATGCTCGTTAAAGTCATCCACTCGGTATATGGCCCAAGATCAACTAGCTAGCTCTACTCTTTGTTATACCCTACGACGAGGCATCAACGGATGATTTTTCGAAAGGTTGTCTAATTTCAAGAGAGGTTGATATATCACCAAAGACCTTGGCCTAGAAACTCAATAGCAAAGGTAAGTTTTGACTCGCTCAAAAAGCATAACGTAAGATGGATTTCGAGAGAGTGGCAAGAATTGGGTCGGATTTTGCCGAGACACAATTCCATTTCCTTTCATGCAAAGGAACCTTCAATGAGGGTTCCTACGATGCCTTAAACCTTATAATCTTGGTGTGGATATATATATATATATATATATTAAAAATTAGAGTTTTACCGACCTAAAAATACGAAAGACTTCTACATTTAAATTTGAAGTCAACAAGTATATGAGACAATTATCTAAATAAAGAATGAAGCGGCCTTGCTTTGCATATTAAGAGAGTTCAAAAGCATATAATGAAAATTTTACTTAGAAACTGAAAATCTAAAATTCATATCTCAAAATATAAAAACTAATTTATAAGTGGACAAACAACTAGCACACTTTTTTTTTTAACAATTCACCAATAACTTTGTTACTTTAATCTTCTATTTGCTACTACTTTTTATCAAGAGATTTAAAAACTAATTTATTAGCAATATGTGCAGAACTTCTATTGTAGCACAAAGAAAAAATTCAAACAACAACCTCAAACTAAAGTAACACGAGATAAACTGGACAAACATCACACATGTACCATACATACATACATATATATATGATCTAATGATAAGAATAATAAATCTGAAATTATTGTGGATAAAAGGAAGGAAAAAATAATGCTACCCTAGGTGGCAGCAACTAAACAAAAACTCCAAAGACTTTTAAAATCAAAGAGTGAGAAATGAGCTGGCGAAGGGATTTTTTTTTTCTTTCCATAATATATAACCAGTAAAAGAATAGCAAGAATACAAGATATTAATTAATAGTGTGAGTAGAATAAGGTAAGTTTACAATAACCAATTAATTGCAAGACCAGCCAACAGGCGAAGCAAATGAATAAAGAACCAATCAATTTCAATTTGTAGTACAACTCTATAGCCACCAGTATAGTTAACCACCATTTCGGAAATTAAATTGAATGCCTTTAAGTAAAAGTAAACCTAATGTACTGATTGATTGATTCTATAGTATCAATTGCTATAAATAACACTAGTGCACTTATTAATGAATTTCACTACTAGTTGTTTCTTTATTGAAGATGTTAGAATGAACTTGTAACGAGGATTTAAAGTTTTGTAACTACATTGTTTTTGTTTCTTATTATTTTGTGGTGATTTGCACAACATACCTTTAACAAGATGCTTTTTTTTTTTTTTTTTTTTTTTTACCATCAGGCCAAAGCTTTGAGTTCAGGATTTAAAATCCAAGGCTAAATTTGGGTAAGAAAAACACGACAAGAATTTCGAAGACCAATGAGGGACTATTCCATGCCTTGGCTTAGCTAGCTTAGCAAGTAATTCAAATTCGACGGATGGAAATTCATGAACATAGAAGGGCAGCCTTGCAGCAGCCACGTTTTTCATAGTTGCTGAAAGGCCATTGGTCCAAGGAAAACTCATTATATAAGTCAAATAAAAATTTAGCAAACTGCAGGCGGCTTTTCTAACTTTCATTGTGAAGCATCTTAGTCAAGAATGGCCGACACTCAGCCACACTTGACAAAATTTTGGCCATCCACGGCCAACTTCTTGACATTCTGTCACAAGTGATCCAAATTCGACTTTGATGACTGTCATAACAAAGACTAAGCAAAGGTACTTGAGAACCTGTCTAAGCTGCATAATAGGATCTTTCTGACTAAACCCTAAGCGATGTCAAACCAAGGCCAATGGATGGAAAAATGAAAAATAAAAAATGAACAATTTAATTAAGCAGTCATAGTGTAAAGTGCAGTATCTCATCAAATGTTGGAGTTCTTTAGTACACAAGGATAACCATTGATCTACAACAAGTATTTTCTCTCCTACATGCTAATAGGAAATGCAAACGAAACAACCATCAGCTGCTGCCTCCCAAAACCAGTAACAGTTTAAGCCATGCCTCCGCTCGTTGCTGTCCTGATTATCTGGAATAGAGCTGTTACAAACAACAAAGAAAACCTCATTAATGACTAGGAAAAAGATTTCAGTTACAATTACAATATCAGATCATTCTACTTATTTTTAGGACTCAAAATCTTGATCCAACCAAAGCAATATGATACGAGAGACGAGCAAGGAAATCATAAGAATGGAGGTAGATGGCATCTTAATTTTCAAGCTTTTCTTCGCTCACAAACAAAGGCAAGAATCCACAATGGATATTTTCAGCTGGTTAAATTGTAAAAATGGCAATTTCATAGTAAAAGGTGGCAAATTTCCCTAATTGTGAGGTAAACAATCTTCAGACACCAAATTCAATCCTAGCACAATGCTGCTGTATTTGACAAAAACATTTCGATAATATAAAACATAGAGCTTCAGCAAAGTATAGCTTGCAAGTCTGATTAGATTAATTCAAAATTTATTCCCGAATTCGAATTCCAGGAGACCATATAAAGGGTTAAAGGAAACGAGGCTTACATGATCCAATGACAACGAAGACGAAGAATCCGAGGAGAACAGGACCAACAGGATAGTCCTTTCCCTTTTTCGTGCTTGTCTCGGGCACAGCTCCTCTCTTAGTAATGTTCTTGTCAAATCTATCGACTTTCCTATCAGCAAGACGCCTCGATGTAGTCTAAACAAACAACAAATAACCAGAATAACGCAAATTAATCCTCAATTTTTTTATCATAATCTGGTGAAATCAAAATGCAACAACGCAAACCTAAACAATACAAATTCTAAGCTCGAAACAGAAGAATCAGTATCTTGATTGATTTTTTTATGCATGTAATCAAGAAACATAATTCCAATTTGCAAGGTAACTTTTACCACACAAAAAATTAAAAATGACAGCAAGGAATTACTTGCAGATCGGATCGGTTCAACCAGCTATCATATGAAAATAAGATCGCATAAGACAATTTAAACGAAATGCAAACAGAACAAAAACGCACAACTCTCAAAATATAAATTAATTAAAAATACAATAATTATTATAAAATTACTAATTACCATGGTGACAACAGGGGGATCCGGTCGCCGGGAACGGTTTGAGCGAAAAAACGTAGCACAAGGTGACAGACGAATCCTACTCTTTCCCTCTCCGGCGAGATATGTCTTTTCGGTCTCCCTTTTATTTCTCTTCTCCTCTCTCTGGATCTGTGTTCGATATTTCTTTTGTGTATATATAGATGGCTAAACGAAACAGCTTGATGATAGGTTCCCCGACCGTTGCGTCACCGACTTTGCTATGATTGGTTAAAGCCACGCGAATGGAATACGTGTCCAATCTTTATTGGATATTAACAGACTTACGTGGTCAAGAGTTTTGGGTTGAGTGGAAAATTTGCGTTACAAACGGTCTCGAAATGGTTTTGCCAGTATTTTGACCAATTAAGAAGAGCCCTTTAACTGGTTTTATCAATTATGACAACAATAAAACCAATCCGTTTTATGATTCATCAATTAAGAGCCAAAATAATAATAATAATAATAAATATTTAAAAAATAAATATTGTTTATCAAACATTAAATTTATTTTTACAACCTATCTTATTATGTACTATTTTAATCAATAGACACCAATAACAATATTGTGCTTTTTTTAAAAAAAATTGGTAATTATATCCTCTTTTCTTCTAATAATAAATTAATAATGATAATACATTTTGCACTTGGGAATTAGGAAGTAAACTTGTCAGATTGTTTGTTGACTATAACTTTTCCGTAGAAGAAAAGGGCACGAAGAAAGATCTGGATTAGGATGAGTTTCAACAGTGATGATTTTAAGCTGACATATTATCCATTGGTGCATTGTCAATTTCAAAAGCCATCAGTCAAATCATATTTAGCCTTACCTTAATAAACGAAAAACGTGAACAAAGGAGCATTTGTCACGTAGGCTGCACGATCTCGTTGTTCATTGTCCATCAACGCGGATAGTGGGGTTCGCGCGCATGGTTACCCTGGATTAGTTAAAGGATGCTGACATGTTATTTGTTGTCCGTAAAAAATTAATAAGGTGCTTTTGATGAGTTTTTTACAAAACTAAGGTATTTTTAAATTTTTATTTTTTAAATAAGATAGTTTTAAACTTAATTCTCAAACTAGATAATTTTTTTCCATATAAGATGTTATCATCCACGTCATTTTTTTTTACCGCAATCAATTGTCCTCTTCTCCGATGTTAAGCATGATTTCTAACTTCTTAATTCCATAACTAACTACCACTAATTTTAATATTTTTTTAAAAAAATCATATATTTCAACGATACAAACTACTTTTTCCAAGAGACCCACGGGAGAGGAAAGAAGTAAGAGGATTGGACTAGATCCGTATGATCCAATAAACTAGCTAGAAAAAGATTTGTCGATCGGGTTTGTGACCTCCTTTGCATCCATGAAAATATATGATGCCCAAAACTCATCTTTCCATGGTTTTGTGTGGGTATAATTGGACGCACCTGTGCTCTGTCCGATACCCAAAACTCATCTCTTTTTATGAAGATTCTTGCGATTAAGATCTTTGGTGGTGCACTTGGGTTGTTTGGAGTGATTGTTGGAATTATTATGCCCGCAAGATCGAGTGCAATTTGTTTTTCTTATTAGAGTGCAAAATATTAGTTATGATGAAGTCCAAGTACATGCTTGTGTAACCTAAATGAAATTTGTATTTTATTCATTCAATGGTAGTCAACTTGTAAAAACTCAAGTGGAAATTTATTCATTGTCTCTTCTAATCTTTAGAAAAAAAAAAAAAAGGGTCCAACACGGAATGCGTTAAAATTAGCTTTTTTGTTGTTGGGTTTGTGTCTTCGCTGTGATGCTTGGCTTAGTTTTCTCTTCTAGCCACTCTTCTTTTAGTACTTCATGTTGGGTTCCTTGTAATAATCACAGCTACCCTTTTCTTGCTTCTTAGTTGGTTTCTTTCACAGATTGGTCCGGATTCAATTGAATATCATATGCAAGAAATGGATTTGGTGCCAATAAATCTAGAGATAAGCACAAAGAGACTCGATGTTTTTCCTTAATACATGAATCAAATTAAAAGTGATAGCATAAGAAAAAAAAGGTTATTTAAGTCTTTACATCATCACCATCTAAAGGAAAAGATAGTTACAATATTCTATTTATTCATTCAAAGAGAAATAAAGTCCGTGAAAAAGCTTTATCCGTAAAGCTTGAAGCGAGATCCGAAAAAATAGAGTTAAATTATTTGATGACATGTATATCTATGTGTCGATGAATACTCATTTTGATAAATAAGTTTAAAAGTACCCTCTTTTGGTAATAAAGATTTAAAAGTACCTTATTTGAAACGAAAAAAAACTCGTTTTTGATAATCAAGAATAGAGTGGTGATAAAGAAAATGAAAGTTTTATTCCTACATTATAACTCGTTTGGTTAAAAAAAATAAAGTGGGAACGAGAATGAAGAGTGAGAATGAAAATAAAAATTTACACACAACTTCATTCCCATATAATATGTGGGAATAAAAATAAGGAATGAGAATGAATTATTTTTTTCAAAATAATAATATATTTTATTTATTTATCATCTATTAACTACTTTTACCATCATCACTTTCACAACCACTACTACCACCATCACAACCACCACTATCACCACCACCACTATTACCACCGCAACCATCACAAACACCACCACCACTATCACCATCACCTTTATTATTTTTACGACCATTATATTTTGATAAAATTATTTTTTTAATCATTATTTTTATTTGTATAAAAAATCGGATATTAAAAAAATAAATAGCATTTCGATTCCTCATTAGTATTCCAAACACAATATGAAAATACAAATACCATTCGATTCTTGCATTTTCATTCCTATCACTCTATTCTTGATTACCAAACAATACTTAAATAACTTGAGATCATGAAATCACGAAGGGAAAAAAAATCCATCCACTATGTATTGTTAGAATAAACTAGTTTTTTGTTTTTTGTCCGCAGCGTAATTGGATAAAATATATAAAATCGTTTAGAAAAATCATTTTAATTTTATAATATGTTTTATGATGTGAACCTATAAAAATATATAAAATCAAAAATGAAAAAAATTATTTACAATTTTAAATAATTTTTTAATAAAAAATGTTGTATTTAACAATTTCTTATTTGTGTTTTTTATAATTTTTTTAGAAAAAGAATTTATCCTTATTAATTAATGGATTATTAACTAAAAAGAAAATTAAATAATTTTTTTTAAAAAGCTTTAGTATTTCAGAATATTGTGTCAAAAAAAATAACAATCATTAAAAGCTTACATATAATTGAAAAAATAATTTTTTTTATTTTTATTTAATGTTGATGAGAATATCAGTTTTTGAAAAAATATAAATTTAATTTTTATATATTTATTTACAAAAGAATAAATAATATTAAAATAAAAAATATATTAATTTGAATTATTGAGTAGTTAAGCCAAAACATAATTTAATTATTTAATTTAAAATAAGTTAATTTTAAAATATTCAAAGATAAATAAATAAATAGTAAATGCTTAGTGTAGTAGTAGTCTGCACGGTTAATTTCTAAAAAAACAACGATTCAATATTTTTTTACACATCATAACTATACTAAGTGAGTTTTGAGTTTTCAATCTTAAACAAAAAATGCTATAAAAAAATTAACTTGCAAGAAATTTATTGATTAAATTTGAAGTTAATAGACTAAAATAAAAATTATTACAAATTTGATTTTCATTGATTTTGATTATATAAAGAAGAAACAAATTAATAAAACATGTGAATTCTTTTTTTTTCCCTCCTTCTTGAATAATATTTTATTTCTATGTTATGCATGGCTAGTCCTTGAATACGTGTCTCATGCGCAGAGCAACCATCTTCTTTTTATTTTTCATATTTGACTTTTAATTATTAATTAATTATTTATTTTTTTCTAAAAAATAGATAAATTATTTGAAATACATTTTTAAGCTAAAAATGTAATTCAGATAAATTATATATATTAATAATGCCACTATAATTTAAACATTATCTAAATCTATTTTTTAAAAGAAAAAATGATCATGTTTTAAAAATTTATTGTCAAATCCATACATATAGAAAAATAAATTAAAATTATTAGTAAATATAATTTTAAATTAATTGGATAAAATATACAAAATAATTTAGAAAAATTATTTCAATTTGATTGTATGTTTTTCGGTGTGAATCTATAAAAATATATGAAATCAAAGGTGAAAAACATATTTATAATTTTTTAATAAAAAATTTTGTATTTAACTATTGCTTATTTGTGTTTTTCATAATCTTTTCTTTAGAAAAAAGGATTTATCCTTATTAATCCATGGATTATTAACTAAAAAGAAAATTAAATAATTTTTTTTTGAAAATTTTTAATATTTCATAAGATTGTGTGGAAAAAATTACAATTATTAAAAGCTTACATAGAATTGAATAAATAATTTTTTTTATTTATTGTTGATGAGAATATTAGTTTTTGAAAAAATATGAATTTAATTTTTATATATTTATTCACAAAAGAATGAATAATATTAAAATAAAAACTATATTAATTTGAATCATTGAGTGATTAAGCCAAAACATAATTTTAATTATTTAATTTAAAATAAGTTAATTTTTAAATATTCAAAAATAAATAAATAAATAAATAGTAAATACTTAGTGTGGTATTAGTTGCACGCTTAATTTCTAAAAAAACGACGGTTCAATATTTTTTATAGATCATAACTAAACTAAGTGAGTTCCGAGTTTTCTATCTAAAACAAAAAAAAATACTATAAAAAAAGTTAACTTACACAAAATCTATTGACTAAATTTGAAGTTAATAGACTAAAATAAAAATTACTACAAATTTGATTTCGATTAATTTTGATTATATAAAGAAGAAAAAAATTAATAAAACATGTGAATTCTTTTTTTCTTCTTTTTAAATAATTTTTTATTTCTACGCCATGCATGGCTAGTCATTGAATATAGGCCTCGAGCACAAAGCAACTAACCA